CCTTCCGCTTTTTCCTCTGAGTTAATAGTATGCGTCCCTAAAGGTGGGAATCCTGCCCTGGCTGGTGTGGCTTAGTTGGTTGAGCATTGTCCCATGCACCAAAAGATCACTGGTCTATTCCTGGTCAGGGTACATGCCCAGGTTTCAGGTTTGGTCCCTGGTTGGGGTGCTTATGGGGAGGTTTCTCCCTCTCCCTTCCTCTCTCTCTAAAATCAATAATAATAATAATGATAATAAAAAATAATAACGTGGGAATCCTTGCTCTTCATAGGATTAAAATAACTCTCTGGGAAAAGTGAAGTGCATGTGAGTTCTAATTGTAGTGTACCTCTCGAGTTTTTTTTTTTTACACATGCCCATACCCATGTAACTACCACTCTGATCAAAGTAGACAACATTTCCATCACCCCCAGAGATTTTGTTTACTTTTATCATCAAAAAGTATTTTTGCCTTTTCTAGAATTTCATGTAAATGGAAGCATACAATTTTAAATATTGGTACTTGGTTCCTTTTTATTGTCGAGCAACTTGATCAACTGTGTGACTATATCAAATTAATTTGTCTATCCATTCTGTTGATGGATATTTGAGTTGTTTTTCTCTTTGGCTAATATGCATAAAGCTTCCTCCTCCTCCTCCTCCTCCTCCTCCTCCTCCTCCTCCTCCTTCTTTTCATTCAGAGCAGAAGGCAGAGAGAGATAGAAACATCAATGATGAGAGAGAACCATTGATTGGCTGCTTCCTACATGCCCCACTCTGGGGATTGAGCCTGCAACCCAGACATCTGCCCTGACTGGGAATTGAACTGTGACTTCATGGTTCACAGGTCAATGCTCAACCACTGAGCCATGCCGGCTGGGCTGCTTGGAACATTTTTGAACATGTCCTTTAGTGGACATAAGCACTTATTTCTCTGGCTGTGGCATTGCTAGGTCACTGGGTAGCTTTCATAAATCCATACTTTCAATCTAGACTTGCAATTGGTGTTTGGGGGGGGGGGGGCAGGGGCAGTCTTATGGGACTGAGCTCTTAAGCTGTGGGATCTGATGCTAAATAGAGGTAGATAGTATCAGAACGGAACTGAATCGTGGGACACCCTGCTGGTGTCTGGAGAACCAGAGAATTGCTCGGTATGGAAAACCCACATTTGGTAGGGTATTCTGTGAGTAGGGTGTTGTAGTAAAGGAGAAACAGAAGAGTTTTTCCCACACATCTGGTGTGAGAAGTGAAGGAAGGGTAGATAGGAGAAACCCAGGCATGTTGTTCCTGTTCAGGGGAATTGACAGGAGAAGGTGGGGAAAGGCTGGGAATTGAAGCACCTGATATTGTCTGAGGAGAGGAGGTGTTTTCCTAAGGGTGAGAGAACGGTGAGAGAGCCATGTGGGGGATTGGAAGTATTGGGAAAAGAGGTTGGGTCCTCCTTCTACTCTAGATTTTGTGCTCCCTGAGGTGTCCTCTGTTTTCCCAGCATGTGGTACATACAGGGGGTGGGGGGGGTAGGTTGGGGGAAGGGAAGAGGGAAGAAAAGAGTGGGCCTGGGGTGCTTCAGCACTCTCTGACATTCCAGCTCCAGGCTCTGGTGCTGTCTCCACTGCGATTCCCATGCGTTCCTTGGGATTGATCACAGTTGGGGCCTAGGAAGGTAGCTCTCTTGGCCAATGCTTGGCCTTCTGGGCCTATCTTCTGGGGGGTTAACATGTCTAGAAGTGCACACCTGCATACAGCCCTGGAGCCCGGATGGGTTGGGGAAGAACAGTGCTATCAATGTGGCGTGATAAGATTCCTAAAATAATGCACCCCCCTTGCCTATCCACATCCCCCTTCCCAACCTGTCCTGGCATCTTCCAATTGGCTCATTGTCTTCGAGGGGAAACGTGTCTTCTTCAATTCTTAGGAAGAGCAAGACTCTCATCAGAATAGAGAGGATTTTCTGGAGAGAGGGTGAGAAGGTCATGGGAATCTTCTGAAGCTACAGGGGTCCCAAGAGGGGGGGCTCTGGAGCTGCTCTCTGGTGTGAGCCCATTGCGGTGGGGAGTCTGTGGGATGAGAGGGAAGAGGGACTGGGATTTATGTCCCAGATGGAGCTCTGGAGAGGAGTTGGGTCCAGAAGAGGCCTTGGGTGTGGTGTGCCCAGGCAGGACACTGAAGGGCCAAGAGGGGAACCTATGGAGTTGGGGGAGGGGAGGAAGACCCCATCAGCAACCGACCTTGCAGCAGTTTTAAGACTTCAAGATGTGCCTTCTCCATCTCCTGACCTCTCACAACTCATTTCCCTACTTCTTGCTAATTTCACTCCAGCCTTTTGTTCTTCCTGAGGCCGTGAACACACTCTTTCTTACCTTGTAAGGCCTTGTCACATTCTTTAGGTCTTTGTCCTCCCCCTCTCCCCCCTTTCTTGACCATTTGATTAAAAATTGTAGTAGCTTCCCAATCCCTCTCCACTCTTAGCCTGTAATCAGTGAAAGCTCCCACTGCTTGCCCCACAACAGCCACTAAGTCCATAGCCACTAACTCGAGTGACGAGTTGGGGCAAGAAAAGCGACTTTATTTGGGAAGCCAGCAAGCCAAGAAGATGGTAGAACCATCTTGAGAAAGGACAGAATTCAGTTTTCTTTTATGTCAGGAGAAGGGAGAAACGAGAGGGGTTTGAGGTCAGCAGGGGATTGATGATTGCAGACACCTGGACATCAGCAAGGGCCTGAGGGAGGATGGCGAAAGTTCTTAGCTTTTGGTCAACAAACCACGGTTGCCATGGTCCCAGTCACTAGGTTCCTATGAATTTTTTTACAAACAGTCATGATTTTTGTATGTAACTTCCTTAACTCCTTGGGGAAATAGTTTTGAGCAGAGAGGTTGTTTCAGTAATTCCTATGCTGCAGGTGAGATTCCATTAATGTTTAGAATATCTATGTGCAGGACTAAGCAGAAATTGCTAACCAACGTTAAGGAAACTGGAAGGCTTGAGCAAGGTGGAATCAGAAAGACTGATTATTTTATTCTTTTTTTGTTGTTAATCCTCACCTGAGGATATTTTTCCGTTGATTTTTAAAAGAGAGTGGAAAGGAAGGGGAGACAGAGAGACACATCGATGTGAGGGAGACACATTGATTGGCTGCCTCCCACATGCACTCTGACCAGGCCGGGGATCAAGCTGCAAGCGGTATGTGCTCTTGACTGGAATCGAACCCGGGACCCTTCAGTCTGCAGGCTGATGCTCTATCCACTGAGCAAAACCAGCTAGAGCCTGACTATTTTATTCTATTGCAAGCCTCCTACCCATCTTTATCTTCTTCCAAAGCTCATCTCACCAGCTGTTTGAAGGCATTAGTGATTTCTTGTTTCCTTTTCTTTAACCTCCCAACTATAGACCTCCAATGGGGTCAATTGTTAATATGTTTGAAGTAGTGAACCTACATTAAGTGTTTTGACACAACGGATATTCCCAACATTGAGCTATAGGATCCCCCTTGGCCCCAAATTCTGGCTTCACTATTCACTAGTTGTGTGACTTTAGCAAATGCCTAGTCTCTCTTTCTTTCTCTCTCCCCTTTTAAATATATATTTTTATTGACTTTAGAGAGGAAGGGGGTGGGAGAGAAAAACAAACATCCATGATGAGAGATCATGGATGGGCTGCCTTCTGCATGCCCCACACTGGGGATGGAGCCTGCAACCCGGGCATGTGACCTGACCAGGAATTGAGCTGTGACTTCCTGGTTCATAGGTTGATGCTCAACCACTGAGCCACGCCAGCTGGGCGAATCCCTACTCTCTTTGAACCTTAGTTTCCCCATCTATAAAATGGGATAATAGCCATACTGCCTTAATAAGAGCTTCTGAGAATTAAAGCTCCTAGCACAGTGCCTGGCCAATCGCAGACACTCAGGAAAGGTTAGTGTCCCTCCCCCAGTGGCATCCGAATGTGTTTCTGTTCCTTATATCTCTCCCAGGCCGCCATTTACCCTCCAAAGCACAGGCCTGTCAAATTACCTCTTTATGCAAAGCAGGCAGTGGCTCCCTCAGCCTCATGTCCCCAGACACCTGTGGCCGCCAGTCTCACCCACTGGATTTTAGACTGCACTTCTTTTGAATTACCTTTACCCAGTGTCCAGCCTCTTGCAGTCAAGACAAAAATGTGTGACAAATCACTAAGTACTGTCCGTTCCTCCCTCCTTAAAAAGAAATCCCCCCTCAGTAATCACAAGCCTGTTTGTCCTGCTCCAGTATGCCCTGCAGCCCCAGGCACTACCCCTTCCCTCAGCCAGGCCCCTTTGGGGTGGCCCCCTCTTCTCCGAAGGTCCAGAGGGTGTGACCTCGTGGGGCTGTGCGCCCGGGCTGGCCCCTCCCTCATTTCCATCCTGCTGAGCACTGCACAGGACGTGGCTCAGCCAGCACTTCCTCTCATGGCTAACCCTTTTGTGAAAGGGTGTGAGACGGGGTAAAGCTAGACTCGGTTACAGCTGCTGTTTTTCTGGAATTAGTTCCTTTAGCTGTGATGTTTCCGGCGCCTAGACCCCGCGCCTTTTTGTTCTAATGCCTTCTCTTTAGGTTCCAAGAGAAAGTCTCCGGGAGACTTTGTGATTCCAGCATCCGACTTAGCCTCCTCCCCCCTTTCTTCTCAGACTTCAAATCACTGCTCTCTCCCATGTCAATCAGCGTTGAGGAGGCCAGAGGGAAGCAGTGGGGCTGCAAGAGCGTTGCAAAAAGCAAACCCCGGCTCTTCTCAAAAGCACTTCCCAAAACAGCCTCCAGGAATGATCAAGTGGGAGTCCAATTTTACATGGATGGCAGCATAGAAGCAAAAGCTAAGCAGGTAATCAATACTCATGAAATCGGATGGAGAAACGGGTAGAGTGAAAATTAAAAAGTGGTCCCACCGAGCCAGCCCACCTGCGAGCCCCTCCCCCGCGGCAGGAACCGCGACTTCCTTCCGCGCCCGGGGCTTGGCTGCAGCGGCACTGCCCACGCACACCCAACCCAGATTCAGACCACGCCAGCCGTGCCACGAGGTGTGTTTTATTTCATTAATCATACAAATAATGTTCTAACAATATCCCAGGGCAAACCGGAGAATTTGGCAGTCCGATGGGGGGGGAGGAGGGGGTCCCCCGAGGGACCCACACACAGGTCGATGGCATGGGCGCGGAGTGTCCGGGTTCACAGTGCAGTTTGTGGCTCGTGTCCTTGCAGGTGGCCTTTTCCTCCACATCGCAAGGGGGTCCCGAAGACGCCGGGGCGCGAATCCTCGGGTTCTTAGGACATCTCACTCCGCTTCTCCTGCTCAATGGCTGTGGGGAGCAGAGAGCGGGCTCTAGGGGCTGAGGACGGACAGCTTGCAACCCCCCAAACCTGGGGAGGGCGAGGACCACGAGGCGTGGGGTGGGGAAGGGGCTGGGGAGACAGCGCTTTGTTAACGGCGCGGGGACGGGACCGCCTGGGAGGAGGCGCCCGCGGGGAGGGGGCTGGGCGGTGGCCGCGGGCCGGGCCGGGGCGCACTCACTCTCTTTGGTCGGCAGGGTGTTCTTCTCCTGCGTCTCCGTCTTCTTCAGCTTCGCCTTATCGAAGCTGGCGACTTCCCCCATGTCTGGCTTGTCTGCCATTTTCTTGAAACAACCCTGGTGGGCAAGCAGGGGTGGTCAGCCCGCGCCGGGCCGGAGCTGCCCTCCGCGCTCCCCGCCCGCGCCCCTCGACGTGGCGCCCCGGCCGGGCGCTCCCCGCAGCCCCGAGGCCAGGGATCCGGCGCGCCCCGCACCCTCCCCGCAGCCCCAGAGCCTGGCCGGCCGGTCCGAGTCCCGTCGGGGAAGGGCGCCTAGGCGCCGGCGCAGGGCCAGGGGCCCGGCTCGGACCCCACCCCGGAGGGTCCCCGCTCCGTGCGTCGCTCACCTAGGCCTTCGCTCCCAGACGGTCTCGGGCTCCCACTCGCGTCGCTGCAGCAAGAGACAAAAGAGCGGCGCCCGCCCCTCGCTTTATATACCCCGCGCCCGCCCCGCCCCTCGTCCGCCGCAGCGGGGGCGGTGCAGTCGGGGCGAGCGCCGCGCGGGCTCCCGCTTCCCGCCGCGCCCTCCGCGGGCTGTCCGCCGCCGGGCTGGGCGCGGCTCTTCCGGCCCCTGCAGCCCTCGAACCCCTCGCACCCCTCGCGCCCCATGCATCTTGCACCCCGCACCCCAGCCGTGCAGGCCGCTGGTGCCGCCAGGGTGGTCGCTGGGCCCTCGGTTCTTTGGGGGCTGCACTGCCCTCTGGGGACATTTGCTGCAGAACGAGGGTGGGGGGCGGGCGGGGATGGGTGTGTGTGTGTGTGTGTGTGTGTGTGTGTGTGTGTGTGTGGTGGGTGTGCAGGCGTGCACGAGCGCTCTGCCGCATTTCCTGCTTTCAGGAGACACCACCCCACCCTGGTGCAGTCCCACGTCTCTTGCCTTTGCCCCACCAAATCCCCTCCGCCCTTTCTCCCGTCCGAGAGGCCCAGCCCTGGCGTGCTCTCACCCTAAAGGAATCCGAGCAGCGGGTCCTAGAGATGAAGAGGCTTGGGATGGAGGCGAGACAGATAATGCTGCACTGCCCTTGGCTCAGACTGGGGGCCGGTTGTCGTCTCCTCGTCGTCTCTTTCTCTCCCCTTCCCCCCACCTCCCCCTTTCCACCCCCCGGATGGCGCCTGCAGGGTGGCGGCGGGGGCTCCATGCACGATTGTTGCAAGCGCTGAAGGGTGGCCGTGGGAGCTGGCTGTCCCCAGGGCTCGTTCACCGTGTACCTTCTCGGTCGCGGTGTACCTTCTGGGGCTGCTGGGACACCGTGTCAGGGTGCGGTTTTCCTCCTTGCATTTAACCTTGAAGATAACCCTACAAACGGCCTTGTTTTTCTTGTTAACCCATTTTTTTTGGAGTGGTGTAAGGCAATTATTCAAATCTTTCTTAGAAAAGTTGTATTTTCAGCCCTTGCAACATCTTTAGGTACTAAATTCCATGAACTTACAACCCAGGGGGTGAAGCTGGCCATTGTTTCATTGGTCCTGAACTGTCCTTTTTTTCAAGCGTCAAGGAGTGTTGCCAAGCTCTTTTCAAGTGGCATTTGGGGGGGACATCCTGAATTCTGTCTGGTCCCTTCCTGGTTTTATCTGCTTTTCCTCGTTCCCTCCATGTGCTTGGAGCAGGAGGAAATAAATTTAGGCTTATGTATTTGGTATACTAACTGTGACCTATGGCAAGTCTTTTCCTGCACCTTAATTTCTTCATCTGTAAAACAGCTTTGGTACAAAGCTTACATGAGATCAAGAACAGGCCTACATGGAAGCACTGTTAGGAGGCCACACTCACACTTTATTCAACTACTAGAGGCCTGGTGAACCACATTCTAGCACTGGTGGGGGCGGGGGGAGGGGTTCCTCAGTCCAGGACCCCTTGGGGGATGTCCGCCTGCTGGCTTAGGTCCACTCTGGTGTACCTTCCTGGGGCTGCTGGGAACACTGTGTCTAAGGGTGCAGGGAGCGGGCCTTAGCTGGCAGGCAGAGATCCCCCACGGGTCCTTAGCACTGCCACAGAGGCGGGAGAGGCTCCCACCACCCCTGCTGCACTGGCCAGCAGTGAGCCCAGCTTCTGGCTGAGCAGGGGGAGCACACCGACCATCAGGGAGCAGCTCCTGCATTGAGCGTCTGCCCCCTGGTGGTCAATTCACATCATAGTGACCAGATCAGCCATTTGGTCAATTTGCATATTAGGATTTTATTATATAGGATTGCCCGTCATGCTGTGTAACAAACTACCACAGGACTAGGCTTAAAACAACAATAATTTACTCTTGCTCATCTACCTGCTGCTGGGTTGGGCCAAGCTGGGCATGGGTCCTAGCTGCTGGTCCTCAGGTGTCTTATCCTCTGGACCAGGATTTAACTGGAGCTTGTTCGTCTCCAGGTGATGGCAAAGCAGCAAGAGGGCTGTCGCACAAGAGTAGAAGTGTTGCAGTGTGTCGTGTCACCTCACGTCTGTCAACATCTCCTGGGCCAAATTCACCATCAATGGAGTGGGCAGGTATATCCCACCCATGGTGGGAGAGGGAGGGGAATGAACATTCTCTGACAAACAGTTCAACGTCACCATCAGGGTAGGCAAACTGTTGTAACAAACAGCCCCCAAAGTGGCTCAGTGCCATAAAATGAGTATTTCCCGCTCACACAGCACCATTATATGCTGGTGTTTCTGGTTAGGCAGGTCTCCTCCATGGAGTGACTCAGGCACCCAGGCCCTTTCTCTCTTGTCACTCTGCCCTTCTGTAGGTCCTGGAAACTTACTCCATCCAGCCAGTGGATGGGAAAGAAGACAGGAGGGAGGGCTGCACTGGAGTTTTTGTGCTCCAGGCCTGGAACTAGTCTCCATTACTTCTGCCCTCATCTCTTAGGCCAGGACTCAGTCACATGGTCTCCCCTAACGACAAGTGATGCTGGGAAATGTAGTCGAGCTGTGCACCCAGGAGTAGGAGAAAGTGGGGTTGGATGGACTGGGACAGTCTCTGTGATATACTCTTGGAGGATCTGCCAAGCCTGAGCAGGAAACTAGCCAGACAGCCAGAGACATTGACTCTGTGGAGGGTCTCACTGGCACTTGGTTCCTTTTCAGATGCCAGGCCATTATTTAGGTGTTACCTTCCCGGGCACCACCTTTGCTTGAGCGTGGAAATATTCAATTGTTTTAGTTTGGACCCACAGTGAACTCCAACTCCAGCTTCCTTTTCCGGGGAAACAGGAATCTATTTCTTCTGGATACAGCTATGGAGACACTCATTTCAACCATACCAAGCATGCCGGGTTCCCAAAGGAGCTTTAAGTGGACTTGCAGACGTTTTATTCTCACTCAGAGCAGCTCTGTGGCCCATCTCTAAGAAAGCAGGCAGCCCTTTTAGCATTTGCTGCTTCAGAACAATAGTCATAGAAAAGAAAAGACACTTTGTAGCTATGTATGGTGATGCATGTTAACTAGACTTATTGCGGTGAACATTTTTCATCATATGCAAACACCGAATCAGTAAGTTGTACACCTGAAACTAATAGAATGTTATATGTCAATGATAGCTCAACAATAACAAAAAGAACAATGGTCAAGTTATTAGTTTCATCCACTAATAATAACAATCAGTCTCAATTATTAGTGGTTTTAAAATGTTCTTTGTGACACTTCCTCCATCATTTCTTTTTCTTTCTTTCTTTTTTCTTCTTTCCCACCATTTCTGGAGTACAGACTGTCCGTCATGACTTTCTTCTAATGAATTCAATGTGACAGAAGCTATGCTTTTTGTTGATGAGGGCAGGTCGTAAAAGGCCACAGGTTTGCCCCGGCTGGTTTGGCTCAGTGGATAGAGCATTGGCCTGTGGACTCAAGGGTCCCGGGTTCGATTCCAGTCAGGGCACATGCCTGGGTTGCGGGCTCCATCCCCAGTGGGGGGTGTGCAGGAGGCAGCCGATCAATGATTCCCTCTCATCATTGATGTTTCTATCTCTCTCTTCCTTTCCCTTCCTCTCTGATATATATAAATCAATAAAAATATATTAAAAAAGAAAAAAGGCCACAGGGCTCTACCTGACTCTCTCTCTCTGGGTACCTCCACGTTCTGAGGAAGCCAAGCACCTACACGGAAAGGCCGCTGAGGTCTGAGCCCACAGCCAGCATCAGCCACTAACCGTGCAAGCAGGTGAGCCTCGGAAGCTTCACTCTGCCCCAGCTCACGCTGAGTGGAGCAGACACAAAGCTGTCCCTGGCCACCTTGCAGATTCAGGAGCAAAATCAACATTGTAGTTGTTTGAAGTCGCTACGTTTTGGGGATGTTTTGTTAGGTAGCAGCACACCATGGGAACACCATGAGATGGAAAAATCGTTACCAGTGGAGCCAGGGTCTCAGGCCCCACGTGGGGATTGTTCCTAAATACCTTTCATAATCCTCACACATAGACCCAGTCAATAAACGTTTATTGAATGTCCACACGGTACCTGGTCGTGTTCCGGATATGGGAGATAGAGAGATGACGGACTCTCCCAGCTGGCTATGAATCAGTGGTTTTCAAATGTTTTTGACCTTGATAACCACCCCTCCCCCTGAAGAAGTGCATGGAATACATTCTACACTGCGACCCCGTGCTTACAGGCGCGTACACAAATGAAACAAAAGTTTCACCAGAACAATGCTCTTACTCTGAGAGATGTACTCAAACCTTCTTTGTTCTATTCATTTTCATTTTTAAAACATTTTTTTTGAAATAATTATGAACTCCTAAGAAGTTGCAAAGAGAGTACACTCAGGTCCCCTGTGTACTAAATGGTGACATTTTACATAACTATAATGCAGTGTTAAAACCAGGAGACTGACAGTGCGGCAATCCATAAACCATTTCCAGATTTCACTAATTATCATATGCACGTGTGTGTGTGTGTGTGTGTGTGTGTGTGTGGTTCTAGGCAAGTTTATCACATGTACAAAGTTGTGCAACCACCACAATCCAGATACAGACCTATTCTATCACCACAAAGAAAATTCCTCATGCTACCCCTTTAGAGTCTCACCCCAACCCAGAAGCCCTGGCAACCACTATTCTGTTCTCCATCTCTAAAATTTTGTCTAAAATTGGGTTTTCTGCCTGGCCGACATGGCTCAGTGGTTGAGCATCGACCTATGAACCAGGAGGTCATGGTTCAATTCCCAGTCAGGGCACATGCATGGGTTGTGGGCTCAATCCCTAGTGTAGGGCATGCAGGAGGCAGCTGATCAATGACTCACTCTCTCTCATCGTTAATGTACCTACCTCTCTCCCCCTCTCCAAATCAATAAAAATATATATTAAAAATAAATAAAATTCGTTTTCCCCATTCAGCATAATGTCCTTGACATCTGTTTAAGTTGATGAGTGTATCAATAGTTCATTCATTTTAATTTCTGAGTATTTCCATGGTATAAATATACCACCTATAGAAGGTCATTTTGACTGTTTTTGGCTTTTAGTTGTTAAAAATAATGCTTCTGTGAACATTTATATACATT